AGGAATACCTCCTGCAGCCCCAGTGACACCTTCCCTGGTGGGAGAAGCTAGCCCATCAAAAGGAAAATTTTGCTGATGTAACTGCCCCAAGCTGGAGACTTCTACCTCATTAGGACTCTGGATTCCAATCAGCTTAGGTGCATTGATTGAATCCCACCACACTGACCCAGCTAATATTTCACCTAGCAAAGCACTAGCTAAATATCTGTAGCACTCCAGCCTACATACGAACAAAAGGAAGCTGAATAAGTTCCACTCTTCCTCACTGACATCTTTTTGGAGCTTCTCTGCGATGATGGGCAATGCCAACACGGTGCTTTATTTGTTAAAAAAAAGAAAGTGCCAGGTTAGAGGGACTAAATGAAGCCATTAAGGCACTGCTAGATACCCCCAAAAGGATTGGTATTGGTGAACAGGAAAGACCAGGGCCAGAAATTCAGGTGGCTTTACATGCTATTTGGATATTTCTGTTTAAAAACAAGGTACATGGGGAACACAAACCTGCTCTCTTTATTCCATAAGGTAGTTCAAACTTATCGCTCCCGTGGAACTCTGCCACTCTGATAAAATCATTAGCACACAGGAAAGGGTATATTTTGTCCACACTAATGAAGGGAAAAAGAAAGAAGTTTCAAAAATCCACATGATGTATTTGAATAAGCCAATAATTCATGCAATTGCTTTCAAAAAAGCTTTCTTTAAGCTACTTCAAGTACTACCAATTTTTAAAAGAAGAAAATTCATGAACACAGGGAAAGAAAGCAGGTAACAGAAAAGGGGAAGATTTTACAATGGAAAATAGAGAGTGAGATAAAATTATTTCTCTGCTAGTATAAGCTATATAGAGACATTAAAATCGCATGACTGAAAGCTTATTCCATGATACAGCATTTTTAAGAGAATACATAACCCAGGAAGACAACAAATAACTTCAGGTTTGAAAAGTACGTAACAGAGGCAGCAAGGAAAATTAAGAGTTATTATACATTGCAATTTAATAAACAGGAATGGGATTTGAAATAATGTGTTTTAACTGGACAATACCATCTCCTGAAGACATCAGCTTATTTGAGATATGCTCCCATTCCAAACAAGTGGCACTTTAAGGCTGTGTTGACATCAGTAAGTAGTTTGGGTCAATAGGGGTATATCCACACAGCAAAAAACTATGGAGTTCTCGTGTCCACATTACATACCCTCAGGTTTTTTTTTTACTCTGGACTAACTCTTGTAGGGTCCCACAGATTGAACACCCCTTAGCAGCTGCAGCACATTGGGCGTGCTCCTGCAATGCATCTCTTGGCTTAGCCAGAGGTCAGATGTCTGAAAGGAGCCCAGTGCACATATGCCAGGGCCACCCTGCGATGAGAAGCACAGCACGTGGGGATCACAAGGAGGTTTGCCTCAAAAGCGTATTTCTCCTGCAAACTAGAACATGATGGCATCATACCTTATAAGCATCAAGATAGAAAGAATTGGTCACTTTTTCCTTCAAAAGACAGTAACCACAGACAAGGGTTATCTTATAGCAGGGAACAGACTCTTACTACTGTATCTGCCAAGTCAAGCCAAATGAATGAACAGTAGACTCAATCCTGTCACATGCTACCATGCCCTTGGCTTCACCTTGGAGTTAAGTAGGCACGTACTCACTGAACTGGTTGACTTTGTTGCGATCCTGCATGCTGGGTCTTATATTAAAATGTTATCACAGAAGTATACAGTCACAGTGAGAAAACCTAGTGTTGACCATAAATACCCACAGCCAGCAAATGACTTGTTTCTCCATTAAGAATAATAATAGCTGTTAAAACCCCCCTCCCTCTCAGTTTCACAAATCAAGTATCTCGCTCTTTAAGCTCTATGTACTCAGAAGATACTAATAGTAAAAAGGAAAAAAAAACCCACACAACAGAAAAAAAAATCCAAACAACAAAACACCACAGCCCACACACCAAGAACTGGGCCATAGGTTAACTAAGCAAGACCAGCTAACTTTGAGACATCATGCACTAAAAGACCCATATTAAATTTAATAACTTGCCTTGCTGCTCAGAAGCAGCTGGTAAGCCTAGACATAATAAATAATTTACCTACTGCAATGAGTAGTACTGCAACTTCTAGCTCTGGTTCCTTTCCAATAAATAATTCTGCCAGGTTAGAAATCCTTTCAACCTACCCAGGCTATTACCAAAGTGCACAGACCAGATCTTCAGCTCACGCAAACTATCTCTGTAAAGGAGCTATGGAAATATGCAAGAGATTCTGTTCTAGCTCTGCACCTACCTCCTTCTTGCTGCACATCTCTGAGCCCATTCCTGCCCCCTTGCTCAGCACCAGAGTTATCCTGCTGTGCCTGACAGAGACAGCCTGGGCACACTCCTTGGGCAAGGGACCCAGGACCATCTCACTTGGCCAGGCAGCTAATCAAAACTCGAAGACTACAGGACTGCTTTGGGGACAACAAACTTGAGATCCTTCTGTGTTCTTTAAAATAATAATGGCACTGAATTAAAGCCATGTTTTCTTGTACACAAAAAGGACACAAAAAAAAAGCAGCAAGCAACGGTGTCTTTGCTCAGAGCTTTAAGACTCCTTCAGCCAGGACTTGGCCTAGACATCTTCCCAAGCTTTCTCAGGACCACACTCAATGTCCGCTGAGGTAAAACCCAAAGTCAGCAATATAGCCTGTCTGCTTCTGGTCCTGTAGCACTTCCTTGATCTCTTATTTACGAGTTGTGCTTCTAACAACAAAAACTCCCAGTATTTCCTCACAAACGTCTTGGATGCATTTTTGCGACCAATCACCACCTTTGTTTTGGGTTGAAGCTCTTCCTTTTTGCATCTGCTGCTTTACAAAGGAAGCTTCCTATTAGTACCTTGAAGTGGAGGACACCTATACACAATTCAACAATACTATCAGAGGAACAAAACCATGAATAATCCCAAATTTCATTAAAATTAAATTCCATTAAAATTCCATTGAAGGAGAAGAATCATATAACATTAAAGACTGGATGAATTTTTGCACATTTCATACTCCTCTTTCCAAGTAAAATGAAGAGATTTTCAAAACTTCTCTGGTCCCTGGCTTCCACAGAAATACTTGGCTACCAAAAAGGTCTTAATCTTTTAAGTCCAGGTTCTTAATAGCAGAATGACTGAGTTTCAGTCTTGGACATGAAGGCTTCTTTTACAGGAAAAGCATGAGGGGGGAAAAAAAAAAATGAAGGCTTGTATTTCAATCATTAAAATAACTTCACTGTTACTAGCTACAATTTCTGAATAGGAAGTATTTATTTATTTATTCAGTACATACACCAGCACGTTGAGCTAGTTGTATGGTATTGCTCAGATGCTGATCAGTGGCAAGCTAAACAATTTGTGTTGTCACAACCAGGAAAAGCAGCAATAAACCCAAGCTCAAAGGCTGTACTTCCAGAGGTGAATCAAAATGTGAAATAGTCCAGAATATGTTAAATAATCCATTTCTACCTCAGTCAGCACAGCCTTTCTTTCCCCCCCTCCTTCCCACAGAAGACTCACCCCAATAAAGATTCAAATGCTGGTTTCAGGAGACAAGTGTCCAGCATGTTCCTTCTCTCCACAGCCGTTGGTGGTAGCCTGCAAAAGAAGAATTTCAAAGAAATAGCAAGAACAGGAACGGGTAGTAGCAACAAGGTGGGGAAAGTTGGACAAGACAAATTAGTAAAAGCAGATTACTGACTTAACACCACACCAAATCTTCATTCAGTATTGCCTCTGTCTGTATTATAAAGATGGATCTTGTTGCGGTATGCATACTTTTACTAGTAAGGGCTTTTATCTCACAGTGCTGCTCCAAGGAGTCTTGGTCTGGAAGCAGCCTCCCTTGCTCAGCAACTATCAAAGCGGTCATAACCAGAGGTGGGATCTCAGGCCCACCTGCAGAGAAGAAGGACACCTGGGCTGAATTGCCCCTGCAGCCATACCAGATAGCATCACCAGCACTCCTCAGAAAGGAGTGCAGAGTCTTCTTTGGAGAGGGGAATAGACAGTACCACACAGGATACTTCAAGGAAAAATGAGGTTCTTTCTGGATAAGTCATTCCTCTTGTAATAAGGCTAAGACTTACACTTCTAAGCACATGCCCACCTTGGTGATTTAGCCCAGTTAATAAAAAATATGAAGCCCAGAAGGAAGAGTAAAGTTCAGTGTGAGCAATGCATGCATCTGGGCTGCATTAATAACAGAAGGATGAAACCACCACATTAGAACCAGCCAAACAGACCTTTAAGGTTAATTGCTTTTGGTAACCTCCAGTTATCACATCAATACTGACACTGAGAAAATACCCTGTGAAACGTATCAGCTGGCCAGCTCATTGATTTACAGCATCAGCCCCTCAGATGATATTTTGCAGGATGGCTTCAGAGAGAACAGAGGTCTGCTTTTAAGTTTCAGTGCAAGCACTCATTAGTCCCACAAACCTAACTGCAGGAATTTAGTAGCACAAGATCTGCTTATACATAGACTTGTGCATCACAAGTGAACTACACCTCTGATTTAATAAATTTTAAGCACAAAAGTTGCCCTCGTAGCTCTGCTAATTTTATTCAGGTATAACTCAGAACTGCAGAAATTTGGAAGTTGTAAACAAACATCCTTTAACAATTCATTGCTTGTTACAGACAGTCACTGTAAGTGGCCATAAATATTAACCAAACACTGGAAACACGACACAGACAAATTCCTTTCTGCCAGACATGTTACAATTGTGTTCATAACAGAAAAAGCCAATGGACACAGTTGTACAATAACCAATGAACAGGGAGTGTATGAACAAAGGCTACAGATCTTAGTCTCAATCCCTCCCACCTGCCCAAAAATCAAGCAACCAATCAAAAAAACAACCCCACCACAAAAATACTCAACTGCTGAACTTACTGGGTAACTCCACTAGTCTCATAGGAAGGAGGAGCCCTCACAGATGAAGTCTGTCCATAAAAGCTAATCCTGCAAAAAGGGAAATGTCACAATATTGTGGCTTGCTAACAGAAAGCCATTCGTATCAATTGTATGCTATAAACAAGACAGAGGCACATCAATCACTACTTTTAAAAGCTATCACTATTATCTTCATAACACAAACACACCAGTCTGTCCTGGTCACAGCTGTGCAAAGACCAATGGAAACTCAACTTCTTCGATAAGCACCCTGAATTTTAGATCCCAAGTCACCTGTCTCGCACAGCCTGGAGACAGTGGAGGCTTACTTCCCACAAGGTTGCCACCGGGACTCAACAAATTTCAGCTTTTCAAAAGGTGCCCACTACACCTGCAGTTATTCCCATGTGTGGAGCAGGTCTCTCCCATGTCATTTATCCAACACCTGAAGAAACAAGCTAACACTAAACACACATGGGGTGGGAGGAGATATGGACACAGGACACACACAAATCAGATACCTCTCCTCATCTGAACACCTATTTTCATGAAACTCAGAGGGGCTCCCTATCTCTGAGGTCCTGACCTCTCCATACAACCAGGCTCAAATCAAATACTAGGTTTAGAAGTGACATGAAAGAAGGGGCAACAGGACAGAACAATCACATTCATTCCCTCACAGTAAAAAAAAAAAAAAGAAAAGAAAAAACCCAACACAACACAAACAAAACAAACAAAAAAACCCCAACACCAGAAAACACAGAGTAGTAATCACTTCTGTTGATTACTAGTAAACAGCTGTTCAGCAACACAGCAACTCACAGCCACATCTCTCATACAGCCATAAGGGTGTTTGCACTATAAGTGAACAAAGCATCACCATACCAGTAGAGGTTATTTCTCCACAGATTTCCATGCAGTATACCATACATAACAGCAGCAGCCAGGATAAAAAACAGAAGAATTCGTTTCATGACTGGTAGACCTGAAATGTAAGAAAAACAAAACAAGAAATTTAAATCCAAGTTATGCTATTAACATGAACTTTCATAAAGCATCTTGAAATCTACAAAAGGAAATCATCATTATTACAGCCATTCTTCACCATCACATATCTGACAGGGGACCACTCCGGTTTGATTTCTCACACAAAGTCCCAGTGACAGGAGCTGAATGCTGCTTTGCACGTACCACACATGCAAAGTCTGCACAGAAGCACTGAGAGGGGCTCACTCTAGGTTCTCTCTGAAGACACAGGAGGAAGATGGGCTCTTCCAGAAGCATGTCAAAGTAGGAGCTCCTTTCTGTCCACCAGCAGCCCAAAGAAACCAGCCTCTTGGGTCAGAAGTTGGCCTTTACAGGCACCTGCGCTTCTCCACTTTCTTGTGCCACCTAGTATCAGTTTCCATAATTACACAGTTAAAGAAGCATTGGCACTTTGCAGGAGGCACACAGGCTGATGCTGATGAAGCAGAACAGGGCATGAGCTGCCACAAATCGCTACTGGCTTTTTTAGGACCACTGAATATTCTTGAAGTCTGGTTTTGGACACTTTAAGCTGCACTGAAGCTGTCTGCTTATGCCCTCGTGTCCTGCACAGTCTCCAGCTCCTGACACAGGCCAGATTTCATTGCTCAAGTGATAGAAAAATGCTATTTTCAAACATCACAAAGCAAGGAAGAGAAGTTAGTGAGTTCCACAGATTGGGTCCTAAGTTATGAAGAAATAGCAGAGAAAGTATTCGGTTTTTTAAGTAGGGTTTTCACCTCATTACACAGTCTAGTAAAAGAAAACCAGAGAAATGCCAGAAGTTTGTGTATCTGGCAAGAGACGCTGGGGGAAAAGCAAGTTCTGCATTGCTCACATCTAACACACTGAGCTACCCTTTCAGTAGCTATGAATGAACTGTTGTTGCTCAATCTTGTGAAAGTTCAAAATAGCCATCCTGGCCACAAGTTACTGTGGAAATTTACTCGAGAGCTGTGTCCTTCTATTATTGTCACTTCTCCCTCCATCGTGGTAAGCAGGTTCAATGCACACCTAGTTGCATATCTATATTTTAAAGTGAAGGCAACAAACAGCTGTCCAGCAAAACCAAGCCATACCCAAATGTGCTGCTGTGTTTTCCAAAGAGCAGAGCCTTTGGCTTTATAGTTTGTTTTTTTCTTTTTCTTTTTTTTTTTTTTAAATTCTGTGTTGCTTTTTAGAATGGAGTTGCTGTTATATTAAACCTGTGTTAAACAGCCCTAAGGCAATAAAACTCAATGTAGATATAGTCCAAGTGATTTACAGTGCTATGCTTTATACTAGTAACATCTTAACATCATATCTTGTATTAAATGCCAAGAAACTACTAGACAGCTGCATTTTGTTATGAGAAACTGAGAAGCAAACTACTGCCACTCGCATAGATTCATCCCTGAAGAAATACCAAACAGTGAACTATTTGTTTCAATGACTCGAGTGCAACAAGCCACCAATTCCTTATTTATTCCTCCCCGCTGCCCATATCCTTCACAGGAGTTTAATTGTAGGGCCAGAGACAGGGTTTTGTAACAGCATCTACCAGTAACAAAGCCATGCAATGAACAAGCTCTAATCTATCAACCTTAAGTACACCCTCCAGGCTGTCCTGCTCTGTTCTGGATGAAATACTCACAGGCTGCAGCTGTCACAATTTCAACCTTTCATTCCTCATTGGGAAGTAACACTGCCTCCCTTACAGCTCTAACTCCTTGACTCTTCTTGAAGAGTCACTGCAAATTTTTTTTGAGTCACTCTCAACTTCTAGAGCAAACTCTTGAGTTTTTGCAATAATTTTGTAATAGTCGTTCCCTAAAACTGCAAGAACATTACAAAAAAACTCACCTACTGGGTTTAGTCAAGTGTCATTAACAGCAATTGGCTCATCATCTTGAGTCCCATCACAGGGCACATACAGGATGACCAGGTGATGAGGCCCAGTCAGCATGGGTTTATGAAAGGCAGATGCTGCTTGACGAACCTGACCTCCTTCTGTGACAAGGTGACCCACTTAGTGGATGAAGGAAAGGCTGTGGATGTTGTTTATCTGGACTTTAGTAAAGCCTTTGACACCACTTCCTACAGCATTCTCCTGGAGAAACTGGCTGCTCATGGCTTGGACAGGTGTACTCTTCGCTCGGTAACAAACGAGCAGGATGGCCAGGCCCAGAGCGTGGTGGTGAATGGAGTTAAATCCA